TTGACCCCACCACTGAGGCAATATCCTTCTAGGGACTATGTTTGATGCCTCGTGTCTTATGAGACCTTTCCACTCTGGTTGGTGGAAACAAGAACTATCCTCTGCCCTTTGTGACTTCCAGGGGATGTTCTGCCTACTCATATCAAGTAGTACATTCTTCGTTTTCATTAGTTTCCTCACACAGATGTCTAGATTCACATTCAGCCGAGTATCAAGGAGTTTCCTCTACAGATCTCTAGAGATCTCTCTGTGCAGCTCCCTCCTTTCTAGTACTCTGCCTTGCAAATTCTGCACTTTGTTCTTTCCCTTAATTCTCTACTCAGTCTTCTCAACTCAGGGATACAGCTGCAGTATTTTAGTTTCCCCTCCATGTGCTTTGTTCTGGAAATTCTCTTTAGACAGTCAACTGTGGTACTTGGCGGGGCACACTTCATTTGTTTCCCTTCCCCTGGGAAATTTCTATCCTGCACTATCTATTTTCCAATATTTGAAAGATTTTTAAATTTTCTAGTTATTTAAGGTAGGAGGGCAAATTTGATCCCTCTTAATGTTGCATGACCAAAAGCACAAATTATTAACTCTGTCTTTGAAAGCTTCTTTGGGCTTTAGTACAAGAGGTCTTAGAATCACCTTGTATCTTCCCTGCCCTGGACTAGGAATTAGCTATTTCTCCAAAGCACCCTCATTAACATCAGTGGGAAATAGTTTGGAGAGACCTGGACAACTGGAAAGCTAATTGTAAACCATTTTTTTGTGGGATAAATATACAATTTTTAAAATTATTCTGTGGAAATTGGTCTGTTTAGATTTTCCATCTCTTCTGGAATCTGTTTCTGTTATTGTCTTACTTTTATTTTAAAATAATTTTAGATTCATAAAAGAGTTACAAAGGTGGTACAAAGAGTTCTAGTATATCATTCCCATAATGATATCATCTTACATAACTGTGGTACATTTGTGAAAACTATCAAATTAACATTTTACATTACTATAAACTGAATATTTTATTTAGATTTCACTAGTTTTCGCACTAATGTCTTTTTTTCTGTTTCAGGATCCAATCCAGGATACCACATTACTTTTAGTCATCCTGTGTCCTTTGTTTCCTCCAAATGTGACAGTCTCTGTTTTTCCTTCTCTTTTTTGACCTTGATACTTTTGAAGATACTGTTTGGTCAGGTATTTAGCAGAGTGCCTCCAAATTTTGGCGTGTTTGGTGTTTTCTTATTATTAAACTCAGTTTATGGATTTGGGGGAAGAATACCAGAGAAGTACCCTTCTCATTGTATGTCAGGGGCACATGATATCAACATGATTCATCAGTGGGGTGCTAACCTTAAAAACTTGTGTAAAGTGGTATCTGCTGGTTTTCTTCATTGAGAAGTTATTTTTTTTCCTTTTCATATTTTATTTATTAGAAACAAGTTAGTAAATTTAACTGGGTTTGGTTTTTATAAACTATATTTTCAAAAAATTCATCATTTCATGTACATCTCAAATTTATTTGCATAGTTGTCTTGAATGGGTTTCTTAAACATTCTCTGTTTCCTTATTGATAACTGTTTCCCTACTGTCATTGTGTTTAGATTTTCCTCCTATCTTTTGTTCCTTGAATAGGTAGTCTACTGGTTTGTTTGCACATGTTAATTGTACAATTTTATTTAAAATTTGTTTTTATTATATTAATTTCCCTTTTCTGTTTTCCTTCAGCAGACTTTATCATTCACTTTCTAAGTTTTTTCTTTTCCTAATTTTGGATTTAATATTCATTCATTTTCATTCTTTAATTTTTCATTAGATGTAAGCCTTTTAGTCTATGAGTTTTCAGTAGTACAGTTAAAGGCCATAGATTCTGATGTATTATTTTTTATTATCATTGTTTTCAAGAAGTTCTGTGGTTTCAGTTTGTACTTATCATTCACTGATAGTAGTTTTTGATTTTTATTTATCAATAGAAAGTATTTTGGCTTTTGGGCATTGCTTCCCATTTCTCATTATTTCAGAGAATATTGTTTGCTTTACTTCAGCTTTTTGAACATATTGTACTTCATTCATAGGAGAATCCCACTTGCCTTCAACTCATACTTGACCCAGTTAGCACATTAGCGTTCTTCAGACTGCTTCACTATCCAGATAGCCAAATTTTAGCCTATATTCAACATTTCTTTTGTTGCAGCATCCCAGGTATTTGGTTTCCCAAAGGCTGTTCCCATAGCACTTACTTTATTTTTTCCCAACATCCTCCAGTTTAATTTAATAGCTTTTCATAAGCCTTCTAAAATTATATTAACTATTGCAATTCCTGAAATAAATTTCTGTGAAATTCAAGAATAATTGGCCTTGGCTATAAAGGAATGGAAGGGAAAATTCGGGAAAGTCATTAGAGAAACAAAACAGTGAGCATCAGTAGGATGGATGAATAATATTAAAACTCTGCTGATGAAGGTAATATACCATCTGATTATCTTGATTGAGATAAAGCAGAAAAACAATCATGACTAAGCACAGGGAAGATGGAACAATGGTGGTAGAGACATGCGTATCAATATAAGGTAATAAGCAATTGGAGAATGATCAGGTGTCACCTATTTCCATTTATGTTTTTGACTGAGCTGCTTTGGAAATCCATCTTCCTCAACTTTAAGGTAAATGATAGAAGAAAACATTTTTTACTATAATATGGTATGAGAGATTAGTCAGGGAGAGATTTGATAACTGTCATATAATTTTCAGAAACTAAATGGATATTTTACTCAGCTGCCTTCCCCAGTAGCCTTAATTTTTGTTCTTATTTACTTTCATCCAAGTTAATTTTTAAAATTCAGCATTTTATCTTATAATTAATATTTACCTTGTGGTAAGGACTTGTTTGCAGTAGTAGAAGAAAATACATAGTAAAATAAATGAGAAAATAAATATGTAATAGAGAAAAGTATTTTGAAGGCAAAAATTAACTGTTGGAATATAAAATAAAAGGATATGAATTTACTTAGAGTTAGCAGAGGCAGCCTTTCTGAAGAAGTGATTTCTAATCTGCAGCACCCAAAGATAGTAATTTAAAGGAACTAGGTAAAAGGATTTCTGAAAGGTGGAGCATCTGTAAGAAACCCCTGGAAATAGGAAAGGTTATGGTATGTCTTAGTAGCTGAAGAGATTCATTGGGATAGTATATAGGGAACAAAAGATGCCAAGGGATCGAGATGAGTTTGTGTAAAAAGATAGATCCTTTTTGTTCATGATTACGTGTTTAGGGTTCTATTCTAACATAAAGACAAACCATTGAAAAAATTACATAGATCCATCTGATAGATAATGTTAGAAATATAGATGACCAGAACCTACTCCTCTAGATTCTGATTCACTCAGTCTCAGCAGATATCTAGAAGGTAGTGTATATAAGAAACTCCCTCTATAGTTTTGGTCCACATTAAATATGAGTACTACTGACTTTTTCCTCTTTGCCTATTCACAAACTTCATAGTTCTCAATATGAACTTTCATAATTTTCTGAGTCCTTCTTGCCTTTTAAAAATTTCATGACAGGGGCACCTACCTGGGTGGCTCAGTGGGTTAAAGCCTCTCCCTTCTTTCGGCTCAGGTCATGATCCCAGGGTCCTGGGATTGAGTCCTGCATCGGGCTCTCTGCTCAGCAGGGAGCCTACTTCTCCATCTCTCTACCTGCCTCTCCGCCTACTTGTGATCTCTGTCTGTCAAATAAATAAATAAAATCTTTAAAAAAAATTTCATGACAGGAGGGGCACCTGGGTGGTTCAGTGGGTTAAAGCCTCTCCCTTGGGCTCAGGTCATGATCCCAGGGTCCTGGGATCGAGCCCCACATCAGGCTCTCTGCCCAGCAGGGAGCCTGCTTCCCCCTCTCTCTCTGCCTGCCTCTCTGCCTACTTGTGATCTCTCTGTGTGTGTGTGTGTCAAATAAACAAATAAAATCTTTTAAAAAAAAATTTCATGACAGGGGTACCTGGGTGGCTCAGTGGGTTAAAGCCTCTGCCTTCTGCTCAGGTCATGATCCCAGGGTCCTGGGATTAAGACCCACATCGGGCTGTCTGCTCTGCAGGGAGCTTGCTTCCTCCTCTCTCTCTGCCTGCCTCTCTGCCTACTTGTGATCTCTGTGCCAAATAAATAAATAAAATCTTTTTTAAAAATAAAGAAAAAAAACTCATGACAGTATTTTAGGATTTTATGACCCTCTTACTTCTAGTGAATATACTTCTCAATTTGTCACTATTTGTACTCTAAGGGGCTCCTCCTCATCCCCAGTACAGTAAAATAACATTTGTTTATTTTGTTTTCTTTCAGACTTTGATTTTACAACAGAGACCAACAAGTTATCTTCAGAAAAAAGCAGTTATCAAGTAAATTCATATCATCGGGAGACAATGAAAAGAAGTAGAACCTTCAACCTTACGAGGTTTACTTTCAGAAATGACCCACAGTGCAGAATTGAATTTGGGAGAGAACAGGGGCCTAACATGGAATGTTTTAGTCAAATGACATTTATAAAACATATATCTCTTCCTCTACACCAGAGAATTCACACTAGAGAGAAATCCTATGAATGTAAGGAATGTAGGAGGGGCTTTAGAAAATATTCACACCTTATTGAACATTTCAGAGACCATAATGGTGTGAGACCCTATGAATGTAAGAAATGTGGAAAAGCCTTTATAGTCCTCCAGCATTTTGTTAGACATAAAAAAAATCACACTGATTTGAAACCCTATGAATGTAATGGATGTGAGAAAGCCTTTAGGTTTTATTCACAGCTTATTCAACATCAGATCATTCATACTGGTGTAAAACCCTATGAATGTAAGCAATGTGGGAAGTCTTTTAGACGTTATTCTCACCTTACTGAACATCAAAAAATACATATTGGTTTGAAACCCTACGAATGTAAGGAATGTGGAGAAACTTTTAGATTGTACCGACATATGTGCCTACATCAGAAAATTCATCATGGTGTGAAACCCTATATATGCAAGGAATGTGGGAAGGCCTTTGGTCATCGTTCAAGTCTTTATCAACATAAGAAAATCCATTCTGGTGAGAAACCATATAAATGTAAACAATGTGGAAAGGCCTTTGTTCGCAGCTATCTACTTATTGAACATCAGAGAAGTCATACTGGTGAGAAGCCTCATGAATGTAAGGAATGTGGGAAGGCCTTTAGTAGGGGCTCAAGCCTTCTTAAACATAAGAGAATTCATAGCAGTGAGAAACTCTATGACTGTAAGGACTGCGGGAAGGCCTTCTGTAGAGGCTCTCAACTTACACAACATCAAAGAATTCATACTGGTGAGAAGCCACATGAATGCAAAGAATGTGGGAAGACATTTAAGCTTCATTCATACCTTATTCAACATCAGATCATTCATACTGATTTAAAACCATATGAATGTAAACAATGTGGGAAAGCCTTCAGCCGTATTGGAGACCTTAAAACACATCAGTCAATTCATGCAGGAGAGAAACCCTTTGAATGTAAGGAATGTGGAAAAACCTTTAGACTTAATTCTCAACTGATTTATCATCAGACAATTCATACAGGTTTGAAACCTTATATATGTAAGGAATGTAAGAAGGCTTTTCGTTCTATCTCAGGTCTTTCTCAACATAAGAGGATTCATACCGGTGAAAAACCCTATGAATGTAAAGAATGTGGTAAGGCCTTTAATCGCAGCGATCGACTTACTCAACATCAGAGAATTCATACTGGTGTGAAACCACACAAATGTAAGGAATGTGGAAAGACCTTTACTCTTTGCTATCAACTTACTCAACATCAAAGATTTCATAGTGGTGAGAAACTCCTGATGTAATGAGAGTCAGAAAGCATTTAACTTTGGCACCTTTACCATTACCACTATTCTACCACCTAGTGATGTTATGGTAAAGATTAAATTACTTAACATAAAATTTAAATGCTTAGGGATCATCTGGCACATGGTATTTGCTTACTAAGTATTGTGGCTTTTTAAATGATAATCACTATTATTACTATACATAAATTCATGTGAAGAAAGACCCTATAAGCATATTTTTAAAATGTATCAGGGCTCGTCCATATTTTCTTCAGATAATTAATTCTGGACAAAAATCCCATTTTTATTCAAAGATCAAGCCCCTGAGGATGAATAATAATAAGAAACCCTGTGCCTTTATTGAATATTGAGAGTTCATCTGTTGAAAAATTGGAGTAGTTTGAAGAAACTTTCTTACAATAAATTCTGCAATACAGATAATGTACAATCCACGTGCCCTACAATTGAAATAAATTAAAAACTAACAATCTGGTAGCCAAAGACTAGGTTGACTTTTTTGAGTGAGTTTTTGTAAGTTTTCAAATTTACATAAAAAGTACAACAGTGTTACAATGAAGTTTGTTTGCTCTCCACCTAGACTCAGTATATCTGGTATTTCTCTCTCGTAAATATGAATATGTATATATACAGATGCACATATATATATCATTCTTATTACATGTTGAATATATTTTCCATATATCATTTTGCTGTATTTTTCAGTGACTGTTTTAGATATCACTTCACCTCTAAAAAGTCAAAATACAACTCTTAGAATTAAGGATAATCTTCTAGATGACCATTAAACTACAGTTACCTAAAAAACACTAATAATAACCCTATATTGTTCTATAATATTCAGCCTATTTACAAATTTCTCTAATTGGTTAAAGAATATCTTCTAAAAGTACTAGCTTTTTTAAAGTCCAAAAACCAAACTAAGCCAATTTGTTTTATATGACTGTGGTTTATTGGGTCTAATAAAAATTGGTCAACAATTTATCCTCTACCTCCTTACAATTTTTGAAGCCTCAGAAGCAACCTATATAATATTGTAATTCTATATTTGTCCTGCTTTTTCTCAAGATGGGCTTGACTTCTTCCTCTATCCTTTGTGTCTATTGTGAACTGAAGTTTATGTCTAGAGGCTTGATTTTCAGATTAAATATTTTTATGACTATTTCATAGATATAGTGTATTTAATATAAAATATCAGGTGGCATACAAGTGAAACTATGGTTGATCTCTTGATCCACGTATTGACTACCAATTCTCTCCATTGTATTGGTGCATTTTTTTCTTTGCAATTAGTAATCCATGTAAAGTTACACTGGCAATCCACTAAACAGGCTATTATTTTAAAGAAATTAGGACACCCCCCCAAACTCTCATATTTTATATTTACCCATATATTTTGCCCTTTCCCGTGCTCTTCCTGATTTCCCAATCCCTAATTTTCTGAATTTCCATCTGGTATCATTTTCTTTTAGCTTGAAGAACTTAATATAGCATTTCTTGGAGTGTACATCTGCTGGAGGTGAATTTTCAGTTTCTTTTACCAAACGCCTTTATTCTTGAAAGATTGTTTTTCTTGCTGTAGAATTCTGGAGTTTGTGTGTATTTTTTAAAAGATAGACACTGACTTCTGTCCTCCATAGGTTATGATGAGAAGTCATTTGAATTATTTTCCCTCTGTATGTGTCATTTCTCTCTGCATGCTTTCAAGATTTTTCATTACCTGTGGTTTTCATCTATTTGGGTATGCTGGTCTAAATGTATTTTATGTTACTCCTGTTTTGGGTTCTCTGAGCCTCTGAAATCTGTACACTTATGCTTTTCCCCAAATTTCAGAAACTTTTGTCCATATTCAGATATTTGTTTCCTGTCCATGCTTCTCCTTCTGGGATTCTAAATACTTGTGTTAAATCTTTTGATATTGTCCCACAAGTCACTGGCTCTGTTATCTCTCACCTTTTTCTCTCTCTCTCTTTTTTAAAGACTTTATTTATTTGACAGAGAGAGATATCACAAGTAAGCAGAGAGGCAGGCAGAGAGAGAGGGAGAAACAGGTTCCCCGCCGAGCAGAGGGCCCAACGCGGGCCTCAATCCCGGGACCCTGGGATCACGACCTGAGCCAAAAGCAGAGGCTTCAACCCACTGAGCCACCCAGGCACCCTTTTTTCCTCTTTTTCAGATTGGGTAATTTCTATTGCTCTATCTTCAAGTTTACTGATTCTTTTTCTTTTTCTTTTTCTTTTTAAAGATTTTATTTATTTATTTGACAGACAGAGATCACAAGTAGGCAGAGAGGCAGTCAGAGAGAGAGGAAGGGAAGCAGGCTCCCTGCTGAGCAGAGAGCCCGATGCGGGACTCGATCCCAGGACCCTGAGATCATGACCCGAGCCGAAGGCAGCGGCTTAACCCACTGAGCCACCCAGGCGCCCACTGATTCTTTTTCTTGTCATCTCAATTATGCTGTTAAGTTTATCTATCAAAAGTTTAATAGTACTTTTCAGTTCTACTATCTTCATTTTGTGCTTTTTTAATAGTTTCTATTTCTTTACTAAGGTTTCCTGTTTCTTCAATGTGTATTTTTTTAAATTTATTTTCAGCATAACAGTTTTCATTGTTTTTTGCACCACACCCAGTGCTCCATGCAATCCGTGCCCTTTCCAATACCCACCACCTGGTTCCCCCAACCTCCCACCCCCCCGCCCCTTCAAAACCCTCAGATTGTTTTTCATAGTCCATAGTCTCATGGTTCACCTCCCATTCCAATTTCCCTCAACTCCCTTCTCCTCTCTAACTCCCCTTGTCCTCCATGCTATTTGTTATGCTCCACAAATAAGTGAAACCATACGATAATTGACTCTCTCTGCTTGACTTATTTCACTCAGCATAATCTCTTCCAGTCCCGTCCAAGTTGCTACAAAAGTTGGGTATTCATCCTTTCTGATGGAGGCATCATACTCCATAGTGTATATGGACCACATCTTCCTTATCCATTCATCCGTTGAAGGGCATCTTGGTTCTTTCCACAGTTTGGCGACCGTAGCCATTGCTGCTATGAACATTGGGGTACAGATGGCCCTTCTTTTCACTACATCTGTATCTTTGGGGTAAATACCCAGTAGTGCAATTGCAGGGTCATAGGGAAGCTCTATTTTTAATTTCTTGAGGAATCTCCACACTGTTCTCCAAAGTGGCTGCACCAGCTTGCATTCCCACCAACAGTGTAAGAGGGTTCCCCTTTCTCCACATCCCCTCCAACACATGTTGTTTCCTGTCTTGCTAATTTTGGCCATTCTAAGTGGTGTAAGGTGATATCTCAATGTGGTTTTAATTTGAATCTCCCTGATGGCTAGTGGTGATGAACATTTTTTCATGTGTCTGATAGCCATTTGTATGTCTTCATTGGAGAAGTGTCTGTTCATATCTTCTGCCCATTTTTTTTATATGATAGTCTGTTTTGTGTGTGTTGAGTTTGAGGAGTTCTTTATAGATCCTGGAAATCAAAAGCTTCTGCACAGCAAAGGAAACAGTCAACAAAACAAAGAGGCAACCCATGAAATGGGAGAAGATATTTGCAAATGACAGTACAGACAAAAGGTTGATATCCAGGATCTTCAATGTGTATTTTTTTTAAAGATTTTATTTATTTATTTGACAGACAGAGATCACAAGTAGGCAGAGAGAGAGAGAGAGAGGAAGCAGGCTCCCCGCTGAGCAGAGAGCCCGATGCGGGGCTCGATCCCAGGACCCTGAGATCATGACCTGAGCCGAAGGCAGAGGCTTTAACCCACTGAGCCACCCAGGTGCCCCCTTCAATGTGTATTTTGACAATGCTTTTGATTCCAGTGAAAATCTTTCATATATTAATGATAGAAAAATAAGTAAAATTATTTTATCTTATGAAAAGTATCAGTTTCAAGAAATATTCCTATCCTCTTAGCTTGGTCACAAAAACAGCTTTTCCTTTCCTTGGCATTCCAGATTTTGTTTGTTTACATGTAGTGTGATACTGGTGAGAGAACAAATCATGCTGTCATTTTGGAGGTCTTGATTATGAAATATTTGCCAAGTATTTTCTTAAAGAAAGCCTTCGCATTCAAAATACAGTAAATCTGGGGCACCTGGGTGGCTCAGTGGGTTGGGCCTCTGCCTTTGGCTCGCGTCATGATCTCAGGGTCCTCGGATTGAGCCCCGCATCGAGCTCTCTGCTTGGCGGGGAGCCTGCTTCCTTCTCTCTCTCTGCCTGCCTCTCTACGTACTTGTGATCTCTCTCTCTGTGTCAAATAAATAAATAAAAATCTTTAAAAAAATACAGTAAATTTTTGTAAAAAATTTGTAAACTGTTCAAGCATTCAACCAATGAGCATTGGCAAAAAACACAAGATAAATAAATTCATTTGTTCTCTGTTTCTTTCAACAGTTCCATAAAGCAACAGTAATTCATAATATTTGTGTGTATATACTAAACCATCATACTTTTCATACTGTGGAGCAAATCAGTTAGGGAGACATCAAGCTCTTTAAAATTTACAGCATTCACATTTTTAACTTAGCATGGCTGGTTAATTTATTTTTTAAGATTTTATTTATTTATTTGAGAGAGAGAGATCACAAGTAGGCAGAGAGGCAGGCAGAGAGAGAGGAGGAGGCAGCCTCTCTGCAGAGCAGAGAGCCCGATGTGGGGCTCTATCCCAGGACTCTGGGATCATGACCTGAGCTGAAGGCAGAGGCTTTAACCCACTGAGCCACGCAGGCGCCCCGGCTGTTAATTTTAATAGAATTTTTTTTCATATCTAGTTGAAATTCTTTTTTGACATATATAAAAGATTTTAAGATATCTGTGCTATGAATCTGATTTTGTAGGCTGCAGATTGACAACATTTCTATTTGATTTGGAAGTCTTTTGAGGCAGAAGGTACCCAGAGTAAAGTGGAAAATATTTTATCGTACAACTTGTCTAAAGGTAGAGAAGAATATATATATGTAGCTTTACTAATTTTGAATTAATCTTTGATATTGTTAGAAAGATCTTTTACAGGCAGTTGACTAGTGGCTTAAATTTTTTTTACTTTTTATAAAATATAATTTTTAGCATTTTTGCATAATATCCTAACAAAACTCCCATAACTACAGTAATAATTTATCTTCCTATATTTCCACGTAAAATTTGATTTTTGTGTGTGTATAAGACACAAAGCCATTTTATAGCTACACAAAGTTATAAGCTCAGATTATGTTTCAAAGTCATTTAAAA